GGCAGCTTCAAGCCATTGCTGGCAGGCTTGCAGCAGCAAGTCCAGAACGTGCACCAGAAGGTGCAGGGCGAGCTCTGGCTCTATGTTGCCACCTGCGGCGGCGGCCCCAAAGGGAAACACCGACACAGATGGGCACAGAGACCAACGCTTTGCTGTCCCTCAGCGAGGTTGGCAAGGAAGCAGGAAAAGCTGAGAACCGGCTGTCCGGGGGGGTCCCTTTAAGCATGAGCCTCAGATAGCCTCAGACAGCAGCCACTTAAAGCAACTACTGACCTGATGCCCTGCCAGAACCGGGTTCACAGGACTGCTTTGCAAGCGGGGCACCCCTGAGAACTGTCTGTCCGGGGTGGAGTTCGGGGCCCTTTAAGCACAGCCCTCAGCTAGCCTGAGACAGCATCTCCACGCTCTAAGTCCTCCTCTGATGCCCTGCCGGCACTGCTTCCGGCCATCCTTAAGCCCTGTTCAGAGTCCACTCAATGTGGACTTGCTAGTTCGAATTAGCAAAACGCTAATTCGAACTAGTTTTTAGTTCTAGACGCGTTAGTTCGAATTAGCTTAGTTCGAATTAACTAATTCGAACTAAGTTAATTCGAATTAGCGCTGTAGTGTAGACGTACCGTAAGTCCCCTTCCTACACCCAACTGGCCAAATTTCACAACTCTTTCAGTATGTGCTATAGTCGGTGAGATGGTCATTGTGGATGGTGGCTGTCATAACATAGTTTATAGGAAATTGCAAATATTTGACTAAAACAGAACTTTGGATACAGCATGTGGTTAATTTTTAACAAAATCTATTTTGAGCAAAGTCTCTTTTTTGAAGGGTCATTTTCAACCACTTCTTCAGACAACGTGGCAAGCTCCGTAAGTAGATGACAAAGTTTCTGTTACAATCCTTGTACAATTTGTTTTCTCCAGTATAATTTGACTTGGTTAGCCAAGTTTGAATTGGTTTTATGAACACAGGATTTTCATTTTTTTAAATGACAAGGAATAAAAAATCAGAGTTCTCACTGATATGAGACGTTACCCCCAGAAATTACTGACTGTTCTAAATGCTTTCTATGAATTTCTTGGTTATGTCAATTTTCCCAGAAAATCTCTTTTGTACACAAAAGAATAACTTAAGTCATCACATTATTCAGGGAAAATGGTTGTGTCATCTGATGAAATTTGAAATTTCAGATTTTTAAGTTAGTTATGTAAGTCCCCGAATGACTTTTGACAATCAACTTTTAGTAAGAAAGTTACAGAGAGATCTCTATCAAGTCTGTGTTTCCTTGAGCACTATATGACCAAACATTTGGGACATGAAGCCACAATAGCATCTGAAAGCTAGGACTATTTTCCATTGTACCCTTAAGGTTGTCAGATGTCCGGTTTTCACCTGGACTGTCCATTATTTAGGTCCCCTGTCTGGTAAAAATCCCCCCAGAAAATACCAGACATGTGAAATGTCTGGTATTTTCTGTTTCCCTCAGACAGAAGCCCATCAGGGAGTGAGGAGCACGGGGCCACTTAAAGGCACAGCACCCCCCCCCCCCCTTTTTTTTTGCTCAACAACTTTGATCCCCCCCCCCTTTTTTTTTCAACAGAGTTTTTTCCTGGTGTGTGTGTGTGGGGGGAGGGAGGGGTCTTCGGTATTTTTTGTTCAACCATCTGGCAACCTTATGTACCCTCCACCCTTTTTCAGGAATATTGCTGGGAATGATATGGTTGGGAGACAATTATGACTTTCAGGTAATCGTCTCTCCTGCTTAAAAATAGATTAAAAGTAACTTTACTCAAAAAACTTTTTAAAAATACAGATTTGAATGATTAACTGTTGTGTTTCAAATGCAATAATAAATACTAATTAAGGTTAAAATTGCCATTTTACAGACTGTCTTATGTGTAGGTCTATATGTTGTAATGCCCCAAAAGGAGACCAGAAACCTGATTGTGATTTTGAATCACAATCTGTCTCCTGGTTCCCTTCTTCTTTGGCAGGGGTCAACCCCAGAGCAAATACACAATAAGTTCTCATATATATCCAGTGCAGTTTAACTGACAGGCATGTTGGCAGAACCAAGGATCCATCTATTGCTGATCCCATGCTGCCTACAGTTCATGCACTTATCTAGGAAGGAAGGGAATAGAGATCTTAAAGAGTCTGCTGTTGCCTACATGTTGCTACATATGTTATGGCAGGCTATATGCTCTGCCATCTGCATGAACTGGAGAAATAAGATGATGCATATATTTTCTCATGATTAAATTCTGCCAGTGAATGTTCAGCCTAATAAACATATTTTAATTCCTTGCACTGTCGTTGTATCCATGTTGGTCCCAAGATGGACAGACACACAGACTGAAGAATGGACTCTATAAAATATATAGTAGAAGATTAAAGGCTGAAAAGGAAGAGGTGAAAGCTGGACTGTAATAAGGCTTAATGCTAGCGAATCAGGCAAGAATCAAGTTAGTGAAGAAATACATTTGAAAGGATTAACATTGCTGTGGAAATTCCAGTTCCACAATATTGACCCTGTGGGATTAAAGAGGAAGAATGTGAAAGAGCAGTTGAGAGCCACTGGTTGGTCTGCTGAGGCTGTTTCTTGTTTTAGCCGTGATCCAGTAAGGTGAAGTAGGTTGAGAGGAGCAGGGGCTGTGAGATGGAAGACAGAACACATCATAAAGCAGCGTATTTGCGATGAAAGATGAACTGATAAATCCACATCCACTTCTGGTGTACCATAGGGCCTCATTGAACTCTAGCTCACTCTTTTTTTGTTCCTATTCCCTCTTTTACAGCCAGAAGGTAGCTATAGTATATCATTTGAGTTAATGAAGCCCTTTCATAGACTTTAAGGCTAGAAGGGATCATCACGAGCATCAAGCCTGACTTCCTGCATATTGCAGGCCACAGAACCTCACCCATCCACTTCTGCAATAGACTCCGAACCTCTGGCTGCGTTACTGAACTCAATGTTTTCAAGATTTCAGGTTATAGAACATCCAGCATATACAGTAGTATAAACCTGCAAGTGACCTGTGCCTTGTGCTGCAGAGGAAGGTGACCTTTGACAACGCTCATTAAAGGTAAATTCCTTCAATTCTGGCATTTTCTCCGATTCATTCTGTCTGTCTGCTGTAGTTAAATCTCAAACTCTCAAGGGCTTTTGCAGGTTAGTGGCACCCTAGAATGTATTGTCTCATCTCTGGACAAGTTCCAGAATGCAGGAAATTTGAAGACAGCATTTGTCTTAGCAGAATTGCTAGCTCAGCTAAAATACCAGGAAGAATATCAGTAAAGGTAGGAGGCTTTTTGACCAAAAGAATCAAGTAGAGAGGGGGAATACTTACCAAAACTTTTATGGGGAAAGTGTTTCTGGTTTTGTTCAGTTCAGTATTTTAAGTCAGTCCAGGATGGTTTGTTTTTGTTTTCCACATATAACTTGAAACCAAGAGATTAGGTCCCAATTTAGCTTCCATTAAACTGAATACAGAAACATCCATTGACTGAAGTAGAAGTTGGATTGGGCCCACAGTAAAATTTGGAATGGGACTAGATATGGCTAATAAGTACATGCATAGTTACAATAGATTGGATTAAAAAAAATCATGCTTCAGAGTATACTTTAACCACTCATTGATAGTGGTTGGGAAGAAACATCTTATATGAGCAGGCAGGGCTGTCCTGAGGGGGCCACAGGACCTGGGGAAACCTTCTCCAGTGCCCCGGTGTGGGGACTGGGCATCCCCCGCCACAGGCCCCAGCCTTGCTCAACTCCCTCTACACCTCCTTCCTGCTCCCCGAGCAAAGTGGCCCAGGGATTAAAGGGGAGCCTGGCATGGCAGTAGCAGGAGCCGCCTCCCCCCCACTCACCATCTGGGTGGTGGGAGCTGGAGCAGCCTAGCAGTGGATTTTATCCCACTATGCCACCCTCTTCCAGCCTGTTGCACTCTGGTTCTCTGCGGAAGCAGGAAGCAGATCGCATTGGAGTCTGGGCGCTCTGCTTCCTGCCACCATGGAGAAGTTGAGCACAACAGCTGGCTGGGAGGGTGGCGGAATGGGGTGGAGTAGGCTCCCGCTGCCTGTGTGGAGAGTGTGTGTGTGTGCCAATTCCTGATGTTGCCCTTTGCCAAGCCTCTATAATCCCCCAGGTTTCTCCCATCCATAGGATGGTGGTGGTGGCGGCTGCAGGGCCCTCAAACGAGCGGCACCTGAGTTGGCTGCCCCGCTTCGTCCTTTGGATGGGATGGCTCTGTGAGCAGGTTAGTAGAGTAGGTATATCATTGTCCATAATAGGCTTCCTTCCTTTGAAGCCTCTGGTACTGTACTGGATCACAGGTTACACCTCTGAGCTCTTAGCCATTTTTCCTTCTCTGTTATGTACACGATCACTTCACAAGGGAGTCCCAGAGACCACTAGGCAAGGGCCTAATCTTGCTAGGGCAGAGTGCGGGCATCTGGGTGCCTTTAATTGCTATTGAAGTCAATGCTTTGGAGGGTGGTCATTATTTCATAAGAGGTAGCCAGTATCTTACAGAAATGAGCTTCATGTTTTAAAATATTTAAACTAGAAAAGTTAATAATTCATTCCCATAATGACCTAATTTTTTATTTGTGTATATATTTAATTTTACTCACTACTTTGCTCACTGGTTTGAATGGAACCTGTTCCAGCTTAGTGGTATTATTCAATCTCAGAAGGTTTCTGTTGCATTTTTAACAATATTCCTTAACTACTGGTTTCTTTATTTTCTTTTATACATTAGTGGCATTATTAGAAATAGGCACAAGCAAACATCCACAGTCTCCTTAAAAAAGCAACATGAAAGAAGCTAAGAAACTAGCAGCAACTGAGAAATTTTGCGGCGTTCCCAAGCTGAAGGTGGTATTTTAATGATTTTATTGATTTATACCTACAGTTGTTGTAGCTGCTTGCCCCTAGGTTAAAAGTTATAAACCAATGGAATAGTAGCTACAAAGGTAACAAGCACTGCCTTTTTTAAAAGCTCACAGTTAACCATAAAGTTCAAACATAGTTTACTGTAAAATTTCATTTAATGTCCATAGTCTTAAGCTCTGTGATGCACTGAAAGGAGCATTTGAAAGCTCTTTGTTAAAGCTCCTCTCCATACTGAACGAGCATCTGAGGGGATTTCCATTCCTCTGCTAAGGACACCTCATTTCTGGAAACTGCTAAAGGATCCTGTCCAAAGCAGATATGTCAAATACAAAGTCAAAAATACTTGCGAGTAGTTAGGGAATACTTGCTTTGGAATATATCAAATTGGGCGTTTTAAGAAAAATGCTTAGCTGTTTCATTTTGTGTTATTATTTCATAGTCATTGTTTGTTACTTGCATTTACTAGGCTTGAAATGATAGTAAAAATAATATTTTAAATAATTTCCAAACTTTTAATTCACATTTACTAAATAATCCCCAAATGTAAAGGCCTCACTCAGCAACTGAGTGCAATTGTATTTAAATCTTCTTTATCAGTTACTAAACATTACTTGAAAAAATGACATATTATGAGGGTGATGATATTTTCACAAATGGAAAATAGGACACTTCACAGGGCTAGTCCAAGCCTTCCTACTGTCCACTCGTGTGGGGCTAGCACAAGTTACTCTCCCAAGTTGTCCTTTCCACACACCTTGCTCCTTGCCCCACTGGCAAAACTGGACGGATGCCCAGTCTTTTGCCAAAAAAGTCAGGACTGGGACACAGCTTAAACAAGGGACAGTCCAAGCAAATATGGGATTTATGGTCATCCTAATTATAGTTTACTATTAATATTTTAAATTTACTAATGTTAGGCCAGTTTGTGAACCCTGCTCAGATGGAAGAGTAGATACTCACACAAGGAGTCCTCTCAAAGCCAATGGGACTGCTTCTGTGAGTAACTGATTACTCATGTGGGTAAAGACCTTTCAGGTCACTGACTTTTGTTGGGGTTCTTTTTCCTTTGGTGCAAGTGTTATTTAGTCCTGCAGATGGCTCTCTTGCAACAGACATCTACTCAATGGGGAAACTGTTGAGCACTTATGTTTTCTAAAAACGAACCTCAAGCACATCCTTGGCTGTAGAGTCCCATGTTAAGCAGTGTCTGGCAAAGAATGGGGATCCAAGGGATGAGCAGCAGCGGTAACACAGCTATATGTGAAGTCTAGAGATGGAGAATAAAATCTACACCCCATTTTTGTGTATGTAGTCCCACTGAAGGCAGTACAGTACATATAAGTACGGCAGATAAAGAGTATGAAATTCGTATTTAGTTCAAAACTCCAGGATGAAGTATTTGCTTTCACTGGAAACATGACTTTGTTGGGAAAAGTAGCTATAAAGCTAAATAGTGGTACCCTAGCTAAAGTGTGCATATATTCTTGTCTTCCTTTCCCAGGTATTTCTGCTGGCATTATCATTTGCATATCTAGCTAAAACCATGTCTGGGGGTTACATGAATAGCATGCTCACACAAATAGAGAGAAGATTTAATATCTCAGCCTCTCTGGTGGGCATTATTAATGGAAGCTTCGAAACTGGTAATCATTTATTTTAATATTCTTTGACAAAATAGTATTTTCCCATAGCTTTGGTGAAGAGCTATTTTGGCTTTTCTCCTGTTACATTTGTTTATCTGGCTCTGCAGCCATTGCATGACCTGTAGGCAGTGGGGCTGACCGCTGTGTCGGGCCCCTGAGGAAGGCTGAGGGAGCTGGTTTTGCACCTCTGGAAGGGGTGCGGCCTCAGCTGAAAGTGGTGGGGCTAGGGTTAGCTTTCCCCAGACAGCCTCAGTGCCACCTGGAGTGAGCCACTCCCCTCTTCCCAGGCAGCCCACAGAGCTGCCTGGAGCATGCAGAGTAGGACTCCAGTGGTGATTAAAAGGGGCCAGGACTCCGGCTGCCACTGCTGTTGCAGGAGCAACAGTGACAGCTGGGAGCCGTGGTCCCTTTTGAATAGCTGGGCCCCAGGGCAGTTGCTCTCTTTACCCTCTCTTGTTGGTGACCCTGCCTGTAGATGAGTCTGTGACCAGATCCTATACACTGTGGCTTGTGGGTTAAGACCCATTGAAGTCAATTGGCCCACTTACAAAGGAAGCCAAGTAAGTGTCCCCTCACGCCAGCACTCCCACCCCCACACGCATCCTCTGCCAAGACCCAGCACCCCAGCCTGCACCTGTCCCACCCTTGCTCTGTCCCCTCCCTCCTACCAAACCTCCCCATCCTTTGCCTGCTCCTCCATGCTCCCTCTTGGTCAAACACGCCACCCCCACCCCACTCCTGCAAACTCCTGGCCAAACCTCACCTCTTCAGCCCCTCCTGAACCCAAACTCCTGGTCAGACCCTCACTTCCAGCTTGCTCCAGCACCCTCCCTTCCGCCCAGACTCCCACCCTCCCCTTCTCCTGCATCTCCATTCCTACCCAACTCACTGGCAGCTCCCTCCCACACAATGAACCCCTGGTTTTTGGCCCCATCTCAGAGCCTTGGGAAGCTCACAAAATGTACTAATCCCAGGACCCCAGAAGAGTTAATATGATTTGTGGGAAGTCCTGAATCTTGGCCGTCCTTGCTCCTTCATTTCCCCCCACCCCCATGAGGCAGGAGCCCCAAGGCAGTGAGGTGTCTCAGTAGGGTATGTCTACTCTGCCATCCTAGTTCGAACTAGGGTGGCTAATGTAGTCATTCGAACTTGAAAATGAAGCCCGGGATTAAAATATCCAGGGCTTTATTTGCATGTTCCCGGGCGCCGCCATTTTAAATGCCCGGTAGTTCGAACCCCCTGGCAGTGGCTACACACGGCACGGGCTAGGTAGTTCGAATTAAAGCTCTTAATTTGAACTACCATTACTCCTCATTGCAGGAGGAGTAACGGTAGTTTGAATTAGGAGCTTTAATTCGGACTACCTAGCCCGTGCCGTGTGTAGCCACTGCCAGGGGGTTCGAACTACCGGGCATTTAAAATGGCGGCGCCCGGGAACATGCAAATAAAGCCCTGGATATTTTAATCCCGGGCTTCATTTTCAAGTTCGAATGACTACATTAGCCACCCTAGTTCGAACTAGGATGGCAGAGTAGACATACCCTACTGAGACACCTCACTGCCTTGGGGCTCCTGCCTCATGGGGGTGGGGGGAAATGAAGGAGCAAGGACGGTAGGGACCACATCAGTTAGGGTTGAGGTATTTTTGCCTCTCATTTTTGTATGGCCCCCAACTGATTTTTCAGTGGCCCCACAACCCAAAAAAGGTTCCCCTGCCATAAATAAAGACAATGTTGACAGTTTTTTGTTTTGGAAGTAAATAAATATTTTACTTTATATAAAATGAAGTTTGGTAAACTAACATGATAAAGTTAAAGTGCTTATCTGTTTATTTTGATCTTGATTAATGATTTTTCCTTTCTTATGCCTACTTATATTGTAGCTGCATATTTAAATTTTTATGCTCCAGTAGCCTAATATGAATATTTTAATATTTAAGGTATTTAGAAATAAGTTAGGCATTTTGTCATGCTGCATATTTAAATTTTTATGCTCCAGTAGCCTAATATGAATATTTTAATATTTAAGGTATTTAGAAATAAGTTAGGCATTTTGCCATCATGGGTGGTTGGCTAGTGGTCCACACAAAGGTTGTGTTTAGCAGGGTGGACTGTGGGCTAAAAAGCTTGAGAACCACTGCTCTACACATAGAACGTGTCTTGAGACAATAACAACTTAACAAGATATGTACTGTCCTGTTTCTGTAGGGCTTATTCTAGAAAACAGTTTTTACAATATATCATGAAGCTTTTCCTCACATTAAATGTTCCTTCTCTAAAGAAAAATGATTTAATGAGGAACTTCCTTCATCCATGTTATTTCTCGCAAATCAGGGAAGAAATAAAGGGAATAAAAATTGACTCTACTATTTAGGATCCCCATCAGAGCTGAGAGAATAATCAATATTTGAGTTCAGTTTCCAAACAGAAAAATTTAGAGAAAATATTTGGTTAGTATTGAACAAAAATTAAATGTGTTTGTTTTTTACTTGCCAAATGGAAAAAAATTTTTGTTTAGAAAATGTAGTTTTAGATCAATATTTTGTTTCTTTTTAAAAACAAACCATTTTGATATTTCACTTGCTCTTCAGCTAAAATTAATAGCTCAATTTGACCCAAATTTGCAAATATTGCCAGTGCCCTGAAAAATGCATTTTTGGCATATTTGTATTTCCTGAATAAATTTCATCTAGCTCTAATTCACCTAAATTTCTATAGTCATCCCTGTTTTCTTGATTAACTTGTAATTTACATTTCTCTGAAACTGCACTAATCGCAGTAATTTAGTATGCAGGTAGTTGTTTTCTTCTTCTGACAATCTCCTCTTTAGTCATAATTTCTACTTTATTTAACATTCTATTATCATCATATTTCCTGGTTGGCCTAACCCATCACGCAAAAACTACTGATATCATTGAGGGAAAAGTCTTTTTTAATCATCTAGCTATTACAGTTACACCCACATAAGGTAAATTGACTTGTAAATGTGAAAATGGACCAAGCTTTTCTTTCTGCAGGAAACTTGTTGGTGATAGTATTTGTGAGCTACATTGGTGCTAAACTTCACAGACCAAGAATAATTGCTTTGGGGTGCACAGTTATGTCTTTTGCCTGTCTTTTGATAGCACTGCCTCATTTTCTCATGGAACGGTGAGTAGCTAATGATGGACTAGATTGTGGCATACTGACTCATGTTATTCCACTAGTGGTCCTATTCAACAAGTGGTCCCACTGAAATCAGTAGGCTCTTTTGCAGAGTAAGGTATGCTCAGCCTGAATTGGGGTATCAGAATCTGGTCCCTTTTTTATGCAAGGGCCCCAAAAATTTCCTAAACACAGATTAATAGCTCAGAGATTCACATCTGTACTGGGCAACCCATAGGTGTTGACTTTTATTTTTCCCTAGAGGGATGCTCCAGTGCTCCCCAGGACACTCCCCTGTATCCCTTTTCTTGTTTTGCCTCTCTCCACACCTGCTCCTTCCTCCTCCCCTGAGGTTTCAATCCTCACTCTGCCTCTTCTCCACCTTCCTTTCCAAAGCCCCACCCACTGCTTGCTGTGTTCTGGCGTCCTGCAAGCTTATTGGCAAAGTGGCCAAAAAAAGATGCGTCTAGTGGATGCTGAGCACCTGCTATTTTTTCCATGGCTACTTGAGCCCTGGAACTCAAGGAGATCAGCACCTATGGGCAACCAATGTTCTTCCACTTCGTTTCATCTCCTGATCTGAAAGGGCACCTGTCACCATACATGATTATCTCCTTGATCTGTACTATCTCAGCATGTGCAGCTCCAAGTTGCAGTGCTGTCTATTACTATAGTATTAGGATACCATAACAGTATTATTTGTATACATATTATATTTCTTTGGTCCTTATGTCTCTTTCTCTTGTATCTCCTGTGTCTGTAAAGATGCCTAACGTAACCTCAAGCAGAATCACACATGCATATCACACATGCACATCACTGACTTGTATCCCCTCTACAAAATCCCTTTTTTCCCAGTAGCTTTATTTTCTCTTGCCTTGACTGCTTCAACTATTTTCCTGCATGGATGACTGAAGTCCTAGCTCTCTGGCTGCAGCACATATAGGTGACGGTTTCTTTATTCCAGAAAGGATTTTTTTGGTTAATGAATGGAATATTCAGTTAACTTTTATGAAGTTTTGGTTCTTCTTGTATCTGCTCATTCCTTTCCTAAAGAGCTTCAATGCAAAAGAACAGCTTTATGAGCTGGATCTGATATATTCTCTCTTAACTTGGAAACCTTTTACTTTGGCTCAGCCAGGTATCAGTACGAAACCTCCCTTTTACTAGAAGAGAATTCATCATCCATGTGTCTTATAAATCAAAGCCAGTCCCCCACACATATGGAGAAGCAATCAGCAGGTGAGTCTTTTTCTATGTCATGTGCTCTTTTCTTTTTACAACTATTTTTGTAGGTTTTGTGTAGGCTGGATGGTTTATTAGCACTTTTTCTAGGGCTCAAGGTTAGATATAAATGCTGTGGAGTTCAGGTGGTTTCCTCATCTTAGTGTTGTTCTTTAGGGCTGTGTGACTGTGGTCCTAGAGATATTCAGTGTTCACACTGGGGCTGACTATGGGGAAAAAACAAACAGAACACAGCATCCCACCTTCTTATAAGCAGTGGAGAAAAGGAGGAGTCAGAACAAAGAGGAGTAATAACCTCTATGCCCTTTCAACAGATGGTATGTGTGATAGGGAGAAATTAGGGTCTTTATCTTATTTTATAGATTAAAAAACACAAGTACCATGTCAGTGCCATCTTAATGTTAATTAATGACAGTGCTATCAAGTGGCACTACAGAAACTAATGAAATACTCATGCCACTAAGTTGTTATTTTTTTATCATACAATCATAGAATACTAGGACTGGAAGGGACCTCAATAGGTCATCGAGTCCAGTCCCCTGCCCTTATGGCAGGACCAAATACTGTCTAGACCATCCCTGATAGACATTTATCTAACCTACTCTTCAATATCTCCAGAGATGGAGATTCCACAACCTCCCTGGGCAATTTATTCCAGTGTTTGACTACCCTGACAGTTAGGAACTTTTTCCTAATGTCCAATCTAAACCTCCCTTGCTGCAGTTTAAGCCCATTGCTTCTTGTTCTATCTTCAGATGTTCCATTTATCTATGGTAAGGTTGTATCATCATGATGCAATATTATTAAGCAAATATTATTAAGCAAACTTTGTAACATGAAGACAGGATGTCATTATTTTGTGATTCTTTGTGGCTCAGTTTAACAAAGAACATGGCCTTCAAGCTCTTTATCATTGTGCACCACTATTTTGGCACTTAAAGAAAAATGAAAATACTACATGCTATTTAACAACCACAGTTTGTATTACATAGCACTTTTCATCTGAGGATTTAGAGAAGTATTTGCCTCATTTTATGAAGGCAGAAAATGATGCACAGGGAAGTTAAACAGTCTAGAGTAAATCAGTTTGCAAGTAGGGAATCAAACCCAGAAGTCCTGATTCCCAGTCATTTGCTTTGAGTAAATTATGTTGGTTTCACCATGAACATTATCAGATTTGCATAGCTCAGTATGTACTGTCAGCTTATGTGTTCAAGTTTAAGTGATAGCACAAAATACTGACTTTGTACAACTGTAAACTGAATCTTCTGACAAAGGTGTTGAATTTTGAGTTAGCTCAGCCCTGTATTTTCATGGCAGCCCTGATGGAGGCATCAGATTTTGAAATCTGAAGTCAGGTTTTCAAAGGCAAACAATCTTTTAGGAGGTTGGATAGAAAAAATTCAAATGGTACATTTTCACGCTGAAAAAATAGATTTTGTTGAAATCAAATTTCTGCAGGAAAACATAAACTTCATCAAAGTTTTCCATCAGGAGCATTGACACAAAAGCTTCATTTCAGGTAGTTCAACCCAAAACAGTTAGAATAGAAAATCCACCATAGGCAGAGACCGTGGTGTATCACAGGAGATGTTCTGTAGCTAGGTAGGAATACCTATACAGAAGAATCAGAAAAGAGTAAATCAGAACAAAATGTTTTGTTGTAGTTTGAGACTGTCAAAGATTTCCTTTTGATAAAACAATATCAAAATATAATGCAAGGTTTCCCACTTAAATTTTTCTACAGCTTACTTATTTTAAGAAAATATATATGTTGTGCTCATTTGCGATGACAAGTGATGAAATATCGCTATATCATTAATTCTATATTTTAATCATCTCTCACTTTTGGTTCCCAAAGGTGTTTGTCTTTTTAAGGATTCCCATCTACTCCATTAATTATCTAGGGGTCAAATTCTGCCAGGACTTTATGCAGGTAAACAACAGTTTTGAAGGAGGAAGAGATGGTACAATAACTTTCACCAAAGAGCCAGGCAGAATTTCAGAACCATCTGTTCACAAGAATGCAGGCACCATCCTCTGCTACTAATTTCAGAGTTACAGTAGCCCAGTGGGGTGGAGAGGAGGCAAAACCTTGGCTCAGGCAGTGGCCAACACTGCTGACTGGCTGTGTGGAAGGAGTAAGTTGCAATCCATAAAGTGATATAGCAGCAGGCATAATATGACTAAGGTAAACTCCTTCCCAGTTCTCTGACTGGGTTACTATATATGACTTCTCATTGCCCCATTCTCTGGGCTAGGCCTTAAGTAGTTGGATGGCTTTTCATATTCATTTCTCTTTGTAGTAAGCATTTCATTTCCTGGCAACATTAACGCCACTAATACAAGTTTCTTGTTTTATTCACAGAGTGTGAACAAAAGTCTGGGTCCTTGATGTGGGTGCTTGTGTTGGTAGGAAACATAATACGAGGCATTGGTGAATCTCCCATTGTGCCATTAGGCATTTCGTATGTGGAGGATTTTTCCAAAGCAGAAAACTCACCTTTTTACATAGGTATATCTTCAAGTGCTCAGTCTTGTTGTGTCATGTGCTGGCTTAAAAAAAACCCCTAAAACTCCAACTCCTCTCTATCCTTTATGGCTCTTCATGGTGAATAGTGCACACAAATTCTTTTTATTTATCTACCTAGTCGTTAAGAGGTGCGTACTCCAGAAAATGTCATTCAACTATTTGTTCAAATAGAGTTGAATTTTCATTTGCACTCATCTAAGCTGGGATCTTGCATTGAGAATCACTGAGTACAGGCAGAGATCCATTTAAATTAATTGAGCTCTACCTGGTTTCAGGGATCCATTCATGTGCCCTTAGCATTCATTTTTCTGTAAATATTCTAGTGGAATATTGGTCACATGGCTGGTATATTTGACTAACCAAAAAATAAAGGACATGATGCAAAGCCCATTGAAATCAATGGAAAGATTCAGGCTCATGAAGCATGTACTGGAGAATAGGGACAGAAAGTGAATGTGTGACTAAGTGGGTCTTTGCCCACGAAAGCTTATGCTCCAACACTTCAGTTAGTCTATAAGGTGCCACAGGACTCCTCGCCACTCTTGCAGATTCAGACTAACACGGCTACCCCTCTGATACTTGATTTATAAGAGTTAGAGAACAAAATATGCCAGGAAACCTCAGAGTCAAGAGTAGGATGTCAGGGACCTTGGTAGATTATCTAGGTCCAGTCTTTTGCCACACCAGGCAGGACTAAGCAATAACTGGACCTTTTCTGACAGGTGTTTATATAACCTGTTCTTAATAACCTCCAATGATGGAGACTCCACAACCTCCTTAAACAATTTACTCCAGTGCTTAATTACCTTGACAAGAAGCTTTTTCCTAATGTTGAACCTAACCCTCACTTCCTGCAATTTAAACCAACTGTTTTTTATCCTTTCCTCAATGAGAACAATTTCTCACTTTTCTCCTTATAACAACTTTTTATGTATTTGAAAACTATTGTCATGTTCCCCCTCAGTAGTCTCTTCTCCACACTAAACAAACCCATTTCCCCCCCATCTTTCCTTGTACATCATGTTTTCTAGACCTTTCGTCATTTTTATTGCTCTTCTCTGGACTTTCTCCAATTTGTCTGCATCTTCCCTGAAATGTGCTGCTCAGAACTGCACACAGTATTGCAGCTGAAGCTTAGCACAGTGTAGAGTGGAAACAAGTCAGCCACAGAACTGGGCATGGAACCCAGGAATTCTTGACTCAAAGCCCACTACTTTAACCACTAGACAACACTCCCTTCCTATGTATCTAAACCGGGCTAAAACCCAAATGATTTTCTATGAAAATAACTCTTTATAGGTTCTAATTTTGTGTATTTTTCCCCTTTCCTGATTTTAGGTTGCCTACAGACAGCAACTGTGTTAGGCCCTTTTCTTGGTTTAATGCTGGGATCATACTGTGCGCAGCTGTATGTGGATCTGGGATTCGCAGATATAGGTAATGAATATATATTCTGTACATATTAATGAGCAGGGATGATTTATGAATATCTCAGCATCAACTGCACTTGTGGTTTTATGCCAGTTTGCTAGTAATAATTTTCTGATGAGAAATCATGTGTTGTTCAGTTCAACACAACCACTTAAATTCAAACATGATAAAAAGAATCTGTAAAACAAATTATTTGCTAATTAGTTATCATCTGAGATGGGAATGTGAAACTGTACCACTGTATCAGAGGCAGCAGCATAGCGGGGGGCGGCAGGTGGGAGCCAGTGCATGCAGGGAGCCAGTTTTTAAGCTAGCTCCTGTGGAACCACTTACTCCCCCCCTCCCAGTGCTTCTGCCTCTGTATCAGAGGTAGCAGCATGGACGGGGCAGGCAGCTCCCAGGGAGCCACCTCTCCCCATGTGTAAACATGTAACCACTGAAAATATCAGCAGGTACACGTTTACCTAAATACATGCATTTTATCATCCTTAACCTGAGATAGTTTAACAGTTAAAAAAAACCCACATTGAATGTAAAACATCCAGATATGGCAAATAAATTATTTGCATAAGGAAGGGATATTGATGACCTCCACAAGCCTCATTTTAAGAGATATTTTGAATCTTTCAAACTGTTTTATTTTAGCTTAAATATGAGACGTGATCAGCACAGCCAATGACCACAGGGGAAAATAAGTAATCAGACGTGTGTTCATTTATTTTTAGCGGAGGTGACTATAACACTTACTGATGCCCGTTGGGTTGGAGCATGGTGGCTGGGCATTCTGATTTGTGGATCAGTAAATCTGCTCGCTGCTATACCTTTTTACTTTTTGCCCAAGTCTCTTCCGAAGGAAGGACAAACAAATGATACTCAGTTGTTAAGTAAGAGAAATGCATCAGTATTAGAAGAGAGAGGTGAAGTTCAAGACAAACATAAAATGAATGAAATCACTAAAGGTAAGTTAATCTAATTATTTCTTGAATGTACCATTGTCACTGTATACAGGCAGTCCCCGGGTTACATGGATCCGACTTACATCGGATCCCTACTTACAAACGGGGTGAGGCAACTAGCTGCTTCCCCCCAGCAGACAAGGGAGATGCGAAGCTAGCGCCCCTCCCCCCAGCAGACCAGGGAGATGCGGAGCAGCTTTTCTCAGCAGACACTTCAGCTTGAGAATAAAGGACTGAGGGAAGTGAGGTGTGGGAGAATAAAACTGAGCTCTGGAGAAATGTTTGGCTAGAGTTTCCCCTACAATATGTACCAGTTCTGACTTACATACAAATTCAACTTAAGAACAAACCTACAGTCCCTATCTTGTACGTAACCCGGGGACTGCCTGTAGTTGAATACATTAAAAATGACACCAATCTACGGAAGTTTTTTTTTCTCTGTGACTGAATTATGTGTGTTTTATAACTAAAGCTGGTACCAAGCTACAGCATTAACATGTTGAGTTTCAACTCTTCGAAGTACAATTGTGTTGGATCTGGGATTTTGGATTGCCCCTTCACAGAGACAGATGCCTATTGTGAAAATGAGATCACCCCCCCCACCCTACTTCTCCCAAATTTCAGGTATATTTTGAGCTAGAATTTGATTCAAGACAACCACTAGTTATAACTAGAGCTGGGCAAGACTACCATACACTGGAAAAGTTTAGATAATGAAACTGAAAAAAATCTTAGAAAGTTGCAAACATTAGCAGATGAAGCTCCTCCCCACACTTGCCAGCACAGAACCATCACAAGGGCAGTGTGCCACTTAAGACCCAATTAAATCCTCAAAAAAAGGACCTACAAGGCACTTAAGTGGTTCATAGACCTCTGAAAATGTGTCGATTTCACCCAGAAAGATTTACTTTTTTTTTACTGTTGCATGGGCATAGATAATTGGGTTTAGATTTGCACATTTCCTGGTTTTCTATATGTGCTGTAGCTCATTTTTTTCTTTTAGTTTCTGTAATTCTTCTAGCTCTTCATATTAGCCCTTAAGGAGCATAACTAAATAACATTTCTTCTAGGAGAAGATAGTCAGAAGTGACTAATGGTACTGAATTTCCCAATAGAGACATTTTAACTGGCCCTAATTTTTAGAAAGTGCTGAACATGTGCCTCTGAAAATCTTATCACTTAAAGGAGTCTCAAGATGGATGTCACATCACATTTAATGCGCCCCAAATCATGAGTTCCTTTTAAAAATCTTGACTTATATGAACTCTTCACTTTATGAAATACAGGGTCATTTCTTTTCATTTACATAGCTCAAAAATCAACAGCCAGGTTTTTTTCCATGAAATAATCTTTTGATGAAGAAAGGTGTCCATTCCACAGCTCAGCAATTTTAGTCCTGCAGTAATATTTCATAACCCTTTTCTTTCTGCTGCCATTCACCAGAGCAGTACTTTTTATTGTATTTACATGGAAGTCCATTGATCTTGAAAATATCTAATTAAAAAATGTCTTGGTCTACCCAAAGAATATTTGACCCTTCTACTTTTGAGACATGTTACAATTGAGTCATTAGTTATTACATATAGTAGGTGCCATTAAAAACTGGACATTTACTACCAAAGCAATGACAGCTTATACCAGCTGTCCTATAGACTTCAGTGGGACTGCTTACACCAGCAAAATTATGCACCTGCATCAGTGTCTGCAATATTGGAGCCATATTAACATAATTTAGCGAATATAACCCGCGGGTTATATTCATTTTTACAAACCCCGCACTCCCCTTGCGGGTATACTCAGGTGCGGATATACATTTTTTTTTTTTTACTCACCTGGTGGTGAGCACTCCCCCGCCCCTTCCCCCGCTGCACAGCCACCAGCCTCCAGTCTCTGGGTGGGGGAGCGCTCATCTCCCGGTTCCTGCACAGGAACCGGACGATGAGTGCGCCTCCTGCCCCTTTCTGCAGCTGTGCAGGAACCGGGGGATGAGCGCTCCCCCACCCGGAGGCTGGAGGCTGGCAGCAGTGCAGCCGCAGGAAGGGGCTGGGAAGCACTCTCATTCCCCTGCTTGGGGGTTGTGAGGCCACGCGGAAACCAGGTGGGGTGAGTGCGCCCCCACCTGGAGGGTGACTAATCCCCTCCCAACCCGTAGAGGCCCTCCCCCCGCACAGTTTGAAACAAAGTCTTGTATACCCTGCAGGTTATACTCGTGCGTGGGGTATACAAGATTTTTTTTACTCAAACTGCAAAAACTGTGGGGTATGTTCGGGTGTGGGGTATATTCGCTAAATGACAGTATTTAAAGTCCCATTCCTTTCCCAGAATGTTTTGCCTCTAGACCATGTGGCCTCTACAAACAAGGCTACCTGCTCATAGCATTTCAGTCAATAGAGCCATTTGATGTTTTATTATACTGAGAGACTGATATACTAACTCTCATTTACTGAGGCCTGGTCTATACTAGACCAATCAGGTCGGCTTAAGGTACGCCATCCAGCTATGCAAAATGCATAACTGATTTGGCTTGTCTGAAACCCAGCCACTGTGGTGTCCACACTGCTGTAAGCTAATGGGTTCACACACTCTCACTGGCTTCCCTGACTCCTTACAGAAGGAGGAGTACTGGACATTGGTGGGGGCTGCCTTCAATGCTCAATTTAGGGGTCTACGTTAGACTGCTAAAACAAATGCTAGAAGATTGACCTTCATAAGGTTGATCTTCTCTGTAGTATAGACATACCTTAGAGACTCACCCTCCCTACCTTCAAGGATACATTTAAATGAAAAACAGTGCCCATTTTCAATGAATTTAGGTCATTTTTTTATAAATATTTCAGTTTGTTTTGCAAAGTTTCTCAATAACAGATCAGCACACTAGCTGGTGCAAAAAAATAAACGGGAAATTTTTAATAGTTTGGGTCCTGATTCTATACACTTTACTTAGCAAAACTCCCAAAGAAAGTCAGTCCCACTAACTTCAGTGGGAGGTTAAACTGAATGAGAAGTTTAGGATCAAGTTCTTAGAAATGTAGTAGAGGAGCCAGGGGTAGATTCTAGTGAACCATTCATTATGGCTATGTCTACACAGCAGCATTATTTTGGAATAAATGATGTTGTTTCAATTAAACATCATGCGCAGGGCTCGACGATCACGGCGAAAACCACTCGCCAGCCCCGCACTGCACATGTTCGAAACCAGCACTGCGCATGAGTGAACCGCCGGTGAACGGGGTGAACGGTTGAAATCTATTCACCACGGGCAAATAGATAAGTGAATTTGTCAAGCCCTGATCATGCACATCTACACAGCAAGTCATTATTTCAAAATAATATCGAGATGGCGAACTTGTTACTCTGTCTTCTGTAACCCTCATTTCATAAGGAGTAAGGGAAGTCAAAGTAAGAGTGTTCTGCCTTCGATTTCGTGCTGTGTAGACCATTCCAAAAGCCAATTTAAGCTTTTTTCGACTTCTGCTACGCAATTGATGTAGCTGAAGTTACATATCTTAATTTGACTTTTACCCTGCTGTGTAGACATACCCTTCAAGACCAGCAGTGCAGCATTTCAGGAATGTAAAATCTGAAAGAATTATGAGATCTAGTTAGCATGGTGCAGTGAGAAGAAGAATTAATATGCATCTGTATTTAATATATGCAGGGCATGCTTAAAATAAGTCATCATTTAAAAGGAAATGTATGTGAATTCCACTGTCAAAGAAAAATGCATGGAACCAAGAATGCCTGCAAGAAAAGAATGAGAACACAAAAAGATCCTGGAGGGAAGGGGGAGACTCAAACAAGAAGAGAGTCAATTAAAGTTATTGTTTAAATGATGAGGGCAGGAAAACAAACCCAGAAAGAGTTAATGCGGTCTAAATGGTTTATGAATAATCAGAAGGGCTTAAACAAATACATCATGATAAAAAAAGAGATATAAGCATTTAATCGTGCTTTCCAGGCAGCTCCTTGCATTGAAGTTGGGGTGTGTTGGGTTAAGTAAGGGACATATAGGGCTAACGAAAGACCCTCCAGGGGACCAATCCAGATGGTGTTATTTGCAATAGGTCTGTGGCCTCTGACCAAATCCAGGATAGAATTGGATCCAATATAGGGCCACTTCTACTTCCCACCTTCTTCAGCCAACTGAGTAATGTTGTCTTGTAAAGCTTCAGAATAACGTATCATATTCTTTCATTCCAGATTTCATCCCATACCTCAGGAGTCTGTTTTACAACCCAGTCTATATGTTGTTTATATGCATAACTGTGCTGCAGTTCAGTGCTTTCATTGGCATGATAACTTTCATGCCAAAATATGTGGAACAACAGTATGGAAAATCTGCATCACAGGCCATCTTTTTAATAGGTATGCTCCCATTATATCAGGGGTGGGAAAAAGCCTGTCAGTGGACCAGATCTGGCCCACCTTGGGCTTTGATCCAGCCTGCGAGACAAGTCCAGGCCCCGCCCCCTAAGCTGCGGGGGAAGGAGCTCAGGCCCGCTCCTCCTTCCCCCACGCAGCCTCTGGAGAGGAGGCAGCGCTGGGGCTGAGGGTCCTCAACAGGGCCAGCCCTGGAGGCACAGCTTTCATGGCCAGGCAGCCTGGGGCCAGCTCCAGGGGCTGCAGGGACCGCTGCCATGGAACCTCTGGGGCCGGCCCGGGGCCACCTAGCCATGGTAGTGGCACCACTGGGGCCAGCCCTGGGACATGGTAGCGCACTTTCCAGCTGGCCCCGAGTGGCATGGGTGCAGTAGCAGTGCCTCCGGGGCTAACCCCAGGCTGCAGCACCCCGGCTTCGGGAGCAGCCTGGGGCCACATGGCTGCGGAGCCTCTGGGGTGGCTGCGGAGCCTCTGGGGCCAGCCCCAAGCTGTGTAGCCATGGCAGCAGCACCTCTGGGCCAGCCTGTGGTGCTTCCAGCCTCTGGGGCTGGCCACAGGCTGTGTGATGGCAGCAACGGCGCCTCTGGGGTTGCCTGTGGCTGCAGTGCCTCAGGGCAAGTCCCCGAACTGCATGGCCACAGCTGCGGGGTCTCCCTCCTGGGTTGCCAATGTAAGGGGACTGTTAGCCCCTTACTTAAACTCTGTGGGAGTTTTTTGGCTTGCAAGCTCCCAGTGTCAACAGGGGAAGGGTCCATGAGACTGACAGACCCCAGAGACAATGGAAAGCAGCCAACACTCCAGCTTAGCCTGATTGACAAGTTGGACAGGCCAGTGAGAAAAGCAAGAGGCCAGGACCCATCCTCCCTGTGAGCTGGGATTGTTCTGGCTCGCTCTGAGCAAACAGAGAGCTGAGAGACTGCCCAAGGGGGGGCAAGCAGTGTGCAGAAGAAGTCCTGCAAAAACAGGGAGCTGAGAGACAGCCCAAGCAAAGCAAGCTGTGTGCTGAGGGGCAGTTTTTGCAGCAGCTGAGCCAGACACACACAGCTCAAGGAGCGCAGACCCTGTGTTGAGCAGCAGACTGGCAGTGCTCAGAGAGCCAAAAGGAACAGAGAAGCAACGCTAGAAGCTAGAGACTGGCCACACAGCACAGCCTGCAGCTGGATGTGGTGAGCAGCTGGGAACTGCAAAGTGTGGGGAGAGGCTCTGGACTGGGAGAGGGGTCTGGCCACTTAGAGCTTGAGGCTGTGTGGTCACTGCCAGAGCAAGCGTGTCCAGCCTGCAGCCCCCTGCAGCACATCCAAGGCCTCTAAGGGGCCTCTAAGGAAGAGACTGTG